GCTCATTGCTACGGCAACATAGCATCGGCGGGCACTAACTGTGATGCTAAGGCTACTGCACAGTAGCTTGTTGCTACTGAGCAGTAGGATTGGAAATGATCCATGTGCTGCCAGGACTGCGCAGGAACAGCTTTACTGCACATTTAGTACTTGCGCATGGTGTAGACATGCCGACTGAATTATTTCAGCAAACTGTGCAAAGACAAGCCCTTGGATGTCAAAACTTCACCTTCAAATCAGAATGTGCAAGTTCTCAGGAAAACTTGTGAAAATGTGACAGAGGTCCTGATAGAGACTGTCAGCTGCATTCAGCTGTGTCATCTCCTTCTGTACAACTCTATAGGATGCAGCATGGCAGTTTTAAAACTAAGCTGGGTTAGTGGGTCAGCCCAACCTTGTGGAAGGATCCTATGGAAGGTAATGGAAAATAACAGCCTTTCTCCAGAGAGGCTAAAGAGAAGTCTACTTCTACTGTGCCAGATTCCAGCATAACCTAAAGGAAAGGGTCCCATTACCTATAACCTGTAGGTTAAAATTATTTCTGCAGAACCCAAGTGTCTTCATCCCAATTAAAAAGGCTTTTCCATACAAACAGCTGGGTTAAGTACATGGTGAAAGCAAAATATTTGTTTAGCAATTCTGACCACACATGGATGTGTGCACAGTACATGCGTGTTGGCTACAGATCATCACTGAACAAAATAATTATGCCTTCTTGCCCTGTTTAAATCATTATTTGCCTGGCTTGCATTCATGCCACTTAGCGCAGAATTAGAGGGTGGGAAAGACTTCCAGGGTCATTTAGTCCAATCCCCTGCACAGCTGCTGAATTTGCTGTTGCTACAGCAATTAGATGCTCCTAAAATACATGTTTAAAGGAAATGCCTAAGTACATGAGAACATACATAAGAACTGCTATTTACTGGGTCAGGCCACAGGTCCATCTTGCCATGTGTCACACAGTGGCAGAGAATGGATTCTGTAAGCGAGAGTGAACCGGGTATGACCAGGGTTGTTTCCATTGCTCCTCTCTCACTTGCAGCCTCCAGCATTTAAGGTCTAGGGAGTTCTGATTCAGAGGCGGTGCCCCTTGCTCCCATGCTCAATCTCCTTTCTAAACTGAATAGTCCTGGCCTCTTTAGTCTCTTGTCTTATGGAAGCCTCTCTATGCCCCTGATCATCCTTGTTGCTCTTTTCTAGGTTTCCTCTATCTTTTTTGAGGTGTGGGGACCAGAACTGAGCACAGTATTCAAGGTGTGGATGCATTGTGGATTTATAAAGGGGCATCATGGGATTCTGGTTTTCTCTGATTTAAAAAAAAAAAAATCGCCAGTTTTCAGTTAAAAAAAAGTAACTCCAAATCCACATTTGTCTGTGATTTAAATGAAACACCACATATATATGTATATAGTGATGTTTCATTTTAATCATGGAAAAATGTGGATTTAGGGTTACTTTTTTTAACCGAAAATTGGAATTTTTTTTAAATCAGAGAAAACCAGGATTCCTGGGCAAAATTATGCTTTCTGTTTTGTTTACAGTTCCTTCTTAATAATCCCTAAAATTTTGTTTGCCTTTTTGACAACTGCTGAGCACTGAGCTGATCTTTTTAGCAAACTGTCCACAGTGACTCCCAGATCTCTTTCCTGTGTGGTAACAGCTAACGTAGAACCCATCACATTTGTAATTGGTATTTTTGCAATTCCAACACTCACCCTGCCACCAACAGCAACACCTCAAGGCACTCTCCACCATTCAACAAGCAGGGACCATGCTGTCTGCACTTTTCCTTGACCACAAAGAACCTCTACTCATATACAATGCCCCCCAGAAAGTAGGTCTCAAACAAAAATGAGGCATGAAGCCCCATAACAACACTAGTTAGCCCCCTTCCACAGGTTATTTACAACAAGACCTAGCCCTATTTGATGGGGTATGACAGATGCAATTTAGGAGTCTAAATGAATACACTCCCAATTCCTGCCCTTGACACAAAGGCACTGTGGCATTAGGCCAGCATGTAAGATCTGAATACCACAATCAAAAGAGCTCCCCCAGCAAGCCACGGCTAGAGTTTGCGTCAAAGCAAGCAGCTGGGCAAACCAGATCAAATAGGATGAAAAATTAATGGGACGACTTGCACACTAACGAAAACAGGATCAGCTGCTCCCAGCAAATTAATCATTCTCTCATTCTGGAAGACTCAACTGTCAGAGGAGTGGTTTGGTGCACAGCTAATAGGGCACCCCGTGAACTGGTGCCGTTGGTTTTTTCAAGCACTCGCTGAAGTTTAATACTGAAATTACCATAATTACTTAACACTAACCAGGCCGATCAGCCTACAAATGAAGAAAAATGGATGAATCAATGTGACACCGGGAGCCTGAAACAAAAACCTCAGGAGTTTTGTTACCCTTTCAGGAAAGGCTATGGTCAAACTTAGCACTTTACTGAGCTGAACGGGAAGGTGAGAGGTGCCTGTGTGTCTCTATAAGACAAGCCAACTCTCTCAAGCCAATTCCTAGCAGATAAGTGCCACAGGACAGAAAGCCACCCCCTCTGCTCAGGGTACAGATTTGATCATAGACGGAGAGAGAAAATATTATTTGTGGGGGCTAAGGGCACGCATCAGCATGAGAACTACAACTCCTAACGTATTCTGTGCAGTGCAACAAATGCATGGTTAATGTCTTCCTCAGCCATCCAGAGCTGAGTGCACATGGGGCACTGGCCTGGCTGCACGCTGAGCAGCACCGTGGTGCTGCTGCTGTCACCGGCTGCTGCAAAATTAGCTGGGGGGGGCTAAGCCCCCACAGCCCTGGCCTTCCACCACCTATAGATTTGATCCAACCCTCTAGGGCACTGGTTCCCAATCTTTTGGGGGCCATGAACCCCTTCTGGACTTGTGACCCAAATAGTTGGCTTACAACTGCTCCCAGACTCTCTCAAGTGTTGGGATCATTACCCTATTCTGGAAAAACATTTAGATGGTAGTGGGATGCCTAGAAGTGCCAGAGCCATAGCCTTGAAGGTCTAATGCCTCTCTGAAGGGCCCAATTAAAGAGAGGTGGTGGAATAAGAATGCTTGGAAATACAATAGCCCTTGACAGCCCCCTTATTCAAGCACCTGGGCAAGAGAAAAGGGATTTATCCCTTTCCACTTCTCTTCAATCCTAATAAAATATAACTAGAGCTTACACACCAAACTGCAGCCTAGCCCTTCCTAGATTTAGCTGGAAGTGGGCAATCTGCAAGGCATACTCCCAAACATTGTATGCACACACCAAAGATTTAGGTGTTTGTTCAGATAGGCATGGTCTAAAATACTCAATTGCTGGCAGTTTCTCCATTCCACTAAGAATCCAGACATAGAAGAAAATCTGGATAAAACAGAGGTTTAGGACAGTAGAAAGAATTGCAGAAGTCATTAAGTTTGCAGCTACAATTCCTGCCTTGGATGTATATGCTTTGCCAGTCTCCTGCACATTAAGAAACAGGCAGAGATGTGTTTCCTAGACATGTCACCCAAAAGTAACCATCTCTCAACATTTTTGATAGACTAAGTGCTCTGTCAATACCAGGTGGGTTCTTAGATCTGCAGCCAACTACCCATGAGAAGCTGCAGGGAAATAAAGTTTGTTTTATCTCAGGCTCACTCAAATAAGATAAATGCGCACGGATTTTTTTTTCCAACGCACAATTAACAACAAAGAGCGATGCTCTGTACTGCTATCGTGCCACGGGACCACTAGATACTTAATAGAGATTAGTGGAGCTAAGCTCCACAACCTCATGGAAAGAACACAGGTTAGCCTTATTATTCTCATTCACAGGTTGAGATACTGATGCAGACTGACTGAGGTGCAGTCATATAGGCCGGCTGGCTGTCACAGCCCCAGGAACTGGAACCCCAACTCTAACTCTCCCTTTTGCAGCATACATGTGAACAACCTTTGTCCCCAGGAGAAACTGTATATAGCTAAGAGAGGAGATAAAAAGAAATCACACTGAATCCCTTTGCAATAACTTCTCAATTAAGGACCTAGTGATTGGCTCCTGGGTTAGACTTCTATTTCATGGTAGAGTAACAACGCTGCTCTGAAATCTCACCCAACAATGCCACCAGCTATGTACAATGCAGCTGCGTGCTTCTTGTCAAGGTGACCCTTTCATGCGTAACAGCAAAGCACACACTGTTGCTCAGAGACTTGACTTCTCCATAAGCAATGCTTATACAGCTTAACATCCAATGTCTGCGGTTGTTTCAAAGCACAAATAACTCCTCACACCTCTTAAAGTCAGATGGTGAGAAGTAAAGGGCATTACTTAAATATCTGGTGAATAGTCAGGGATACTCCAGGTCAGTCAGACCTCCTAGATGCAATGTAGGTATCTCCAGCTTGTTTTGCAGAAGGACAGACTACATGATAAAATGAATGCAGTTGGTCTCAAAGCTGACTCTGAAAAGATTAGTCTGATTAGTCAAGTTACCAAGAAGTCAAGTCAACAGACTGGATTCTCTGGTATCAGTGCTCAGCAAATATACAACACAAGCAAATCAACATGACAGCATCTGACCAGCTGCCCTCACTTGGCTCTAGTGTAAATGAGGACATGATGCAGAGTTCAGCGCCAAAAGTTCAAGAAACCAGAGTTCCAAGAAAGCCTGGGAGAGCCAGGGCCCAAAATCCATGCAGTTCAACAGGGTCTGGGGGGAGTTACTTCAGAGGCACAAATGGTTGAGACATGCCCCAACTCCCATCAACTCTTAGTGACAGACCTGGTTATCATTTATCCCTTTCAAAGATTCCCTGTGGGTGCCTCTCGCACCCTCCTTCGAAAAGCCCAGCTTTGCCGATAACAGTAATAGAACAGCATAGGATGCATCCCTTGAATAATGGGATACACTATACACTACTCAGAGAAGAGGTTTTCTAGGATTTAGAAAACCTTTTTCTAAAGGTGATGGCCTTTTTCTGCAGCAGCAAGAACCAGCTTACCGTCAATTCCCAGGGCCTCCTGCTTCTTGTTTTCCAGACATGGTTCAAACTGATTGATGATTTCCAGGCAGTGCTCCTTGGTCACGTTAGTCATCTAGAGAGCAAGCAACAATGAAAGGAGAACATTTCATTAACTAAAAAAGCAGACCTTTTCTTACCTAGTTTTCTTCTTTGAATAGAGTTCAGCAACTGGCTGGATTTTCACATTAGCACCAGGATTTTACAATTGAACAGCGAGATTCTCACTCCTGCCACTCAGTGTCAAGTCAGATGAGAAATTGGGCTGCATAGTGAAAAGTTACTGTCCCTTTGGCAGCTGTCTGATCACAGCCAATAAAATACGGAGCCTGATTTCTGGTTTTTAGGTCAAATGTGCTTGGTAGTTAAGCCCATAGGGCATCCAAATAGCACATGCTTTGTTATGGACCAATGGAGTCTTTAAGTGGTAGGATTACATGATTTGCATCGTCAAAATGTTTTCACTTTGGAGGAAAGCAACAAAATGGAGCTCCTGGACACAGAGGAAAGAAGAATGGGTTATAATTAGCAAAGTTTCAGAAGGTCAGGAGATTACTGGAAGCATTCTGATGAAGTCTTGCTTTGATCTATGACAGGACTGTATTCTCATCCACAGGAAAGCTGAGACACTGGCACTAAAAATTAGGTCACTCCTGGTGAGCTCCAACTACATTAAAAAAGTGATACAGCCCTGTAAGTGCCCTAACCCAGTACAACTCAGTATTCTCTGCCTGGGGTAAATTATCTCATCAAAAGAAAGAGGTAACTACACTCCTGTGCAAAGGTCATCTGCCTATAGCTCTAGTCAGATGGCACCCGGCACATGTACTTTGCTCGGTGCAGCCAGGCTATTATTACCAGCTCCCCCACCAAAGCCCTGTAATAGCATCTATTTCTGCAGATACTCTGGGAGACCCATCTGTTTGTCTGCTCCAGACAGCAGTGTAATCTACACCAGTGTAAATCTGCCATGTGTACGCTCCCTTCCAGAAGAGCATGCCCCACTTAAACCAAACAAGAGATAAGCATGGGTAGTTGTGTCTGGCTGGGTTTGGAAGCAAGAGCCCTCAAAATCACACCATAAAAGGCCATTCTGGCCCACTCTCATTTCAGCTATGATCAGCAAATGCTGGTCTTTTCCTGAGGAATCTAGTTTTCACAAGATTTCTAGTCCTGTTCCAATGCTGCAGCAGGCCTCTCTCTCACTGCTGCTAATGCCAATACATTCATTTGTTCCATTTTTATTGACACACCTCAAACCTACGGTATGGATACCCGCTCGCTCTACCCATATCACATTAAAGAAGGCAGCGTCAGCCATGGGAGTTAGCCTGGGGAGCCATGTGTTGTCTGTGCCTGTGATTAGCTGCTGATTGAGTCCTGTGGCTGGAGTTCATTTTCTTCATTCAGCACTGGGAGAATCAATAGCCCAGTGAAATGGAAACACATCCCCACACGTGGAAAAGCACAGTGAGCACAGAGGGAATGGACAGTTATTTATTCACTTTGTCAGATACTCAGGGGACTCTGAACGAGAATCATAAACAGGGGAGTGCTGGCATTTGAAGGTTCAGTGCCCTATTGTGTGAGTCCTGTCATTCCATTCACATGGGGTCTCTGCTCCCTGAGACTGCTCTCCATTCACAATGTGTATTTTAGATGATTTGGAACTTGTCTAAAGAGTGAGAAACCAGCATCATTCACTGCTGCCCCCAGTAGCCAAGGTGATTACTTAAGCTAGCAGGTGGCTGTTTGCACCAAGGCTTGTCTAGTTGAGCTGTGATGTTGGAGCCGGAACAGAATGTGTGTATGCATGCATGTACCACCACATGCAGTGAGGAGGCTAATTCTCTTTTACTGTTAGAACATAAAGAACACTTTGCAGTGAGATCTGTTAAGTTCCCTTTTCATGAGTCTGCATGAGCCATTGGGAAATAGAGCCTGCATTTTCAATCTGTGGCAGGGATGGATGGATACAAATGATTAATGTGCATAAGTATGCAAACCTTGGTGTTTAGCTCATGTAGCACAAGGAACAGAATCATTAATTCTTTTGTACATAGCAGCTAGTACAACGGAAAACAGGAGATTAGTTCGCTGCTATTCAACTCATAGCACATAAATAACTATGGAGATGGTGTCTAGGTGAAATTCAATATTTGATTAATAAAGTTTATAGAGCTAGGAGTTTGTCTCTGAAGAGCTGGGAAATGTCTTAGGTTTTTATGAGCAGCATTAGGTGTAATGTTTGCCATTAGCTATTGGCTGAGAATAAACCTCTGTGTATAATAGAGAACCACTTGGTTTGTTGGGCCATAAACTCTTCATCTGTTTCAAATCAGTGATACAGACAAAATAATTTGTGCTTTGTACGACTCCACTATAGTAATGAAATATTAAGTGCTAAAGCTGCCTAATAATATTTAGTCCTTTCCATCTTCAAAGTGATGTCCAAGCTGTTAATTAATCCTTTGAACACCCTGGGAAGCCCCCCCTCTTCTCCCCCCTCCTCAGTACACACCAAGAAACTGGGGCAGGCAGGGTAATTCAGAGACTTGCCCAAGGGCTACACAGCAAGTCAAAGGCAGAGCTTAACTCAGTATCAGACTGCCTGATACTAGAAAAGCCCACTATGACCACATAGCTAGATGCCAGATGCCAATCCCCTTTTTGTAAGGGAAAGAAACACAATAAAAGAAAGCCACAGGGACAATGATGGGGGGACGGAAAAGAAATAGGGAGATTCCAGGAACAATTCACATAAGCCAGAAGTAGCATCAACAGCAAGAATAAAATCCAGTGGTTTATGCCAGTATCATCCAATTGTCTGAGAGAGCCACGTGACCACATGTAAGTAGCTATTCAATTTCTAAGTCTACCTCTGAAATGCTCTTGCCTTGTAAAAAAATTAATTCATGCCCAACAGGAAAAAAACTGCATAGTAGTCGCAGCCGCATGGACTGAGATCACAAATCTTACAAGGAGACCTGCTTATCAAACTAACTTTTTTGAGGATTCTCTTCAAATGTAAAAGTCATCAGCTCAGGACACAGTGCCTATTCAACAGGTACCACGGCCATAATTTTATTACATAACAGCAAAGTAGCTGATAAACTGCAAAGCACTCCTTAAGTGGCAATTGCTCAGTTAACATTAGAGTCAGAAATACAAAAACAATCTTTATTCATTCAAAGGGCCGTTACAATTAGGAACTCTCAGTTTCATGGCCTGCATCACTAGGACACGTGAAGTTTGTCTTGATTGGAAAGTGTCTGATTATGCAAGGCTGCTGGCTAGAAAAGGAGTAGGTAACTCAGGGTGCATTTGCAATAGTGTCAGTGAAACAACTTTATGGTATATTCTCATCTTCTGCCTGGTTCCCTCTAGTTCTGTTTATCCTTCTGTTCCACAAGCACTTCATTCAAATAATATGTTACTGGAACAAGTTTTGGACCAGGCAGAAGGCAAGTTTTAAGGACTGCTTGAATCATTTCCCTCTGCCAATAAAAGTAATGTCCAAGCTCTGCTGTGAATAAGCAGCCTAAAAAAAGAGGCTCCATTTAAAACTCACAACCCCCAAATCCTCTGAGGCCAGCAGAATAAGCTGTGCACAGTGATATGCCCCTCCAGGGTTGGCAGGGTTTGCAATTCACAAACATTACGGATTCTGCGTAACAAGTTCCCTCCACAACCTGGCTGATTATTCTAACTGTCACTAGTGCTGTGCAGGAAGAGAAGAGCCAGTGCTCCCCTGACTCCAGCCTACCTTTTGTTCGATCTCAAGGAAGCGCTTCAGATCCTCTGTGTCCAGGTAGTCCTTGTGGTTGCTGTAGGTAAGCATGAGTAGGTACAGGTCACGCCGTGTTGACATCATCTTGTAGAAGGCACAGAACTCATCAAAGCCCAGTGTGCCCTGGTTATCATCTGTGTCAGCCTCCTGCAGTACACAAGAGCAAGTCATTGAGATCTCTCCATTTCCCAAAAAGGACACATACATCTGAATAAAGCCCAGTTTCTTTAAGACAAAAGTAGCTTACTGTTGGGCTGCTGTTTGCCCTGCAGCTTGGCACCTGGTCTGATTCACCAGGCTGACACTGCAGCATGAACAGCTCACAGGAATTTCCTCAACCAGCTTCTCTTTCAGCTGACACAGATGGGAGCACTGGTGCATGCTCCAAGAGCTGTTTTCCAGCTGCAGCATTGCCCAACAAGCCCTCCCCATGCCCCATCTGAAAGGCTTTCCTCACCTATAGAAACTATTGGCAGGACACTATTGCAAGAAGAACAGGGGAGAAGTCACACAGGTGTCCAAGGAAAAGGGGCCATTAATAGTTTCCGGTGCAGTGCAGGCAGTCCAAATGAGTTTCTGTCTGTGGCTTGGGAGCACCTCAGTATAAACTCCTAGGTCACATGTAAAGTGTGCTAATTTATTACCATTTGATGCAGAGAGAAAAAAAAAGCAGAGTGCTCTCTGGCACTCAACCCATAAACATACGTACATACTAATGGTTCTCCACTCCTGTGGCCCACTACAGCAGCCGACAAAGAACAGGACCCCAAATGTACCAGTCAATACCCTTCATCTTCCATTCACTGCCTGCACACAATGGAGATGGACTTTCTTCAAACCAGTTTTGTTAAATGCAGGCAACAGTGGCCCACAGCAGAAAAGCTTATTATTGGAAGGCTGATGAGCACCTGAAGCACCACCAATTATACATGCCTGTGACCAGGCAGCCAGTGGGCCATGAACTTTATTACCTATAGTGCAGTAGTGCCTAAATATCTTTATTGAACTTTATTACCTATAGTGCAGTAGTGCCTTGCATGAGACCTGGGATACACCAAGCTGAACAAACACATGGTCCCTGCCCCAATCCAAACAGGCAAGGCAAAAGTTGAACAGGAAGAACCATCATCCTCATTTTACTGAGAGGAAAGGAAAGCCTAAGAAATGCCCAAGGCCATGAAGAATATACAACAGAGTTGAAAATGCAGCCCAGATCCTCTGAGCTCTAGTCCAGTGTCTTAACCACAGGATCTTCTTCCTTGTAGCTGTGATCCAGCCCAGAATCGACTGAGACAGCGAGCCCGGTGCACCACCTATACCAAAGCTACAAATTAATGGCACTTCCCCGCCCCCTCCCCCAGCAACATGCCTGAGTGTGGCTTAGTGAGATTATACACAGGAGCTGTGCCAAAAGTGCAGGACTACAGGCAGAACAGAAAGCTCATTACCAGGAAGTACTCAGCACTGTGGAGGGGTTCTGCAAGGGATCATTCCTTGGGAATGAGCCCTCGTCCAAAGAGTGCACTTTCATTCTGCATCCTTTCCCCTTGTCCCACATTATTAAAACAATAATTAAAAAGTACTTATCTGGTGATTACAAATGCATGGAGATACACACATTCTAATATATCCCTTAAAACAAACTACCCACAAACAAACAGAAAATGACCCAGTTCTCCCATCCCATTATCCTTGATGGCTCTCTAATGTTTAAAATGGAACACTCACTGTGTTTCCTCCTTTATGATCCATTTACAATAGGGGGTTTCAGAGCTGAATGGTGTAAAAACCCAGTCCCTCATCATTACCATTATATCAGAGCCCACTGCCAATGTAATGCAAAAAAAGACAAAGAAATGTCAAATCAATTTGGATTAGCAGCATCACATTGCATCCTAATGGCAGCACAAGTTTATTAAGATTCATTTTTCAGCAATCATTGATCCACTGGCTTTGAATATGAAAATCTGATTCCATTTTCAATCTGCTATCATGTAAACCTCATGCTTCATTAGTGTTCCTGGGTGTTAATGACACACAACTCCTGTGCAGCAATGCTTTCTGATGTTCCCTGGAATAGGGATCACAAGATACTTTCATTTCTGGTCCTTGATCTTAATTTTCTTACTTTAAAAAAATGGAAAGGAATAGCATTCTGGAAAAAAACACACCTGAAACTAAAGGTAGGTAACAACCTAAGAGAAAAATGGAGAATTAGAGAGAGACCAGGGGCTTGGTGCTTTAACTGTCATAAATTACACACCTCTAGAGTGTCTTTCATCAGACAGTCTTGGAAGTGCCGCATAAGCATTAAGACTCCCAAGAAATAGTTAGGTAGATAAATTGCTTAACAGATGGGAAACCTACAGGTGGGACACACAAGCCCCAGAGACTCCTGTGGGGGTCACTGGAAGAACAAAGATCAGAACCCAAACTCCTAGCACTGTATCCCAGGCAAGATCCTTACTGATCCTCCGATTGATTTATTGGGTTGGGGTGGAGGAGGTTGAGAAGTAATTTGCACAAGCTGTCAAAGATTTTTAACAGGAAGGATTTTTGAACAGGAACAATACAGAATGGCAAAAGCTGGTTCTCCAGCTCTCAAGCCCATGATACACTACAAGTGTAAGTCCAGCCACTTAGGTAGTGATCCACCACATTTGCAACCATGGCCATTTAAGTACTCAGATTTGCACCTGCAACTAACAGCTGTCCTGAAGAAAAGCATAGTGAGAACTTGTGGAGGAATGAAACTCCCCCCTATTAAGACAAGACTTTTTAAGTGAACTTGGGTTCACTTGCTCTATATTATTTAGTTAGTCTGTGAAGACATATCTACCCTGCCTTCTTTTTAAATATGGCCACTGATTTACACATCAATTAACAGAAACTAGCTGTGTACAGATCCCTCATATCCACTGGCTGAACAAAGGGGAGATCTACCACTAACCTAGTTTCAAAAGAAAGGCAAATCCAAAGAGTTTGGTAAATCTGTGTTGGATGAAAAGAACGTGATCAATTACTTAGGACAGCTGGGCTGAGGTACCTCAATGGCAGAGCCTTGAAAAAGACAATGGCCTAATTCTGTAGAGTCTGGAGGCATTTATACACGTGCTTTGGGGGGGGGGGGGGGGGGGG